AAAATAATGTCGTGGATAAAGGAAATAGTGCATGCGAATTGCAAACGTGAGCTTAACAACCACAGATAAGGAGACCATACGAGGAAGTTATTAGATGAAAGTAGTTTAGGTAGATCAATACTAAGTGCATTGCTGAATCCTTAAGAATATATTGGATTTTTTTCCAAAAGACTTAAATACAGTTGCCGGGATCACTTCAGGTGGTCGATAATCGAATGATCATCCGCCTTATGTAATGAGAGGTACGGTTTGGATAATTAATTAGAGCGTCAGACATCACTAGTTTTTTGAATCCGCTAAAATAGGGTCTGTGACTGCACAGTTAGCGGGATATAGCCATCAGTTACGAGTAAGTATAAATTTCTAAATGCAGATTGTAGTGATACATTTAGTTTGTGCTTGTTAATTTCATAATTAGTGAGGCCCAAAAGTAAGTTCTTACTTGACACACTCGGGGTACTTTACTACCGATGTTCTTTAACCAATATAGAGTGTTTCATAGACGAGTTTCCCTCGACTTCAGACCGTCAAGACTTTAAAATATTCAGAATCCTCTGTTGCATGTGCACAAAATGTCATTAAAAAGGCTTCACTGTCACGTGCTGTTACGTTGACGGGGGTTAAGCTCACTCAAAAAGATTTCTCATAAACAAGGACATGTAAGTGAATAAGACCGCTATCGAACATTTGCAACAGGACTATTTTAATTTAAAATTCAGAGTTTGAAAGCATGATGTTCCGCCTATCAAATAAACTCCTTAAGACCCTTCTCGGACGTTTGCAATGATATGTATAAAAATCCCTCTATACAAACGCTTTATTAATGTGAATGCTTGTTCTGACTTGAAATGTGAAGTTATTTCTCTAGGTCCTCTAATCTGAGAATCCTACAAATCTTTCGATTCTAGGTGAGACGGATCCAACTTTCTTTATTTGTTTTTTTTTTACTATTCAACTAAATTTCCACGATTGTCACGAACTACATATACGTTGTCTTACTTGATACTTTGGTTATGATAGCTGTCATACTGATTCATTCCTTTTTTAAAGAGTGTATTTTTTCAAATGACTCGAATTGTGTATTTTTCGATTGTAAGGCGAAGCACACTATCAGAACTTGAAACGCTCATTATTGTGACAAGTTCCCATTTTGTTCGTATTCTTCTCCTTGATTTGTGATGCTAACCACGCATAAAAGAAATTCAAACCTGAAACTGGTTGACGTTAATGGATTCGAATTAGACGATAACTTCCCTTTCACAAGGCAAATGCTTTTTAACTTCTTTGTGTGCCATTATTCAGGTCCAAATCAGGTCAACCATACTGATAGTGACACTAGTTGTGATTTGATGACAAATGTGATAGAAGATTCTGGTCTACACAGAGATCAGATGCCTGAAGTCCTAGAGCGAAGTATGACACAGACAGAATGGTTTACGAGATGAACCTCATGTAGAACTAGAGCGGAGGATTGCTTTTTATCGAAAATAGTCATTTGAACGGTTAAAGGGCGGCGCATATGAATGCTTGAGTCATTTAAAAAGGAGGATTAATGAATACAAGAAAGGCTATTTGTCACTGATTGTGATAGGTCTAGAACTCCCTAGGCAAAAGTGAGTTACGTTGATGAATAGACAACAGGGCAATGCAATATTTGTGACAAATTGAGACGTGCGTATTGCCGAGGGTCGTCGATTATAATCAGCGTTTGTCGTATGTACTACACTATTGCAGAGGTAAGGAGAAAGCAACTAACAAGAGGTGTGTTACGATGAGCTATTTGCTGGGTATAGCAAAGCCAGATAAATTTTGAAACTAGTATTTAGATAGTCACAAGTAATTGCTTGAGAAACACTAGTGAGCTTATTTAATGGTGTGAACTCTGACTGTAATGCTAATGAAGAGTTAGCAAATTTGGGTGTAATAATGGAAAATCGCCTTATTTATTTTGAATAAATTGATAATTCTGTGGTTCGAAAATTCCTGGTGACCTTAGAATGAACCGTTAAGTTAGTGTCACGGTCGTTGCAAGTACATTGGGCAGATTTACTTAATGAACTGACGGTAAGCGACGGACATTCAACCTTTCTGCGCTCACTAGGTCTATATCGTCTCGTCGCTAGTGCAAGGTTTCAACATCTGGGAACCCGTTATGAAAGCAAATATAGAACGAAGAGGAACTGCCATTTGCAATCTTGGCATGGGTAATCTGACATTATAAAAAGGTGCCATATATGCTCTAATGATCACACCATTTATCAGTGCTCACATTTTTGACGCTGACAGTGAGAGACTGGTGGTTGGAAGCGAAAGTCAAATGTACTTGCATGGCCGGTCTTGCACGATGACATAGAGCCAATGAATCCGGGTTAAAAACGCGTTGTTAAAGACTGTTCACAGAAACATCATTATCTGTTGCGTAGAAAACCATAGATCAACAAAATAAAGGTCGAACCAATCATGAATAGTTATTGAGGATTTGTTGAGTTTCCATGATACCATTTGTACTTGAGATGAAAATCGAGACGTGGAAGTCGTGTCTTATGCTTTCTTGAACACTGATAATTTTGGACTAATTAAAATTGTTCAGGTTAAAGAAAGATGAAGTATCGGTAGTAATCAAGATGGTAGAAAATACCACTGTAAGTAACTCGCTCTCCTTGTGACAGATATTGACTCGCTGATCTTTGTGAAACAATGACTAATAGATGAATAAATGAAAACAGTTATGACAGGGCTTGGAATTTGGCGTGAAGATAATTTACCCATTCTGGATAAATTAGATTTTGACACTGTCTGATGTCAGTCCACAACAGAAGTCATAGCTCTAATTCCTAAGCCTAACTCATAACTTTCAATCCTAATTCCGATTTCTCACAGCATTATATAATCCCCATTATATCGTAGTAAGTAGGTTAGTTTTATCGAGGTTGCTTTAGCGTCCATCAAAGTTCGTTAGTAAGTTAAAGTGTCACCTGAACCTCCTACCAACACCGGAAGACATTCGGTTTCCACTGTCATATTTGAGTATCATCTTTCTTAAAAGTCATAAAATGCTGTAATACGATCGTAATGGCCAATTTAACAACCATGACCACAATAAATTTAAACCACTGTGTGATAGGTCCAGCTAATTCGATCGATTGCTTTCATCCTACTTGCTCCAATTCCAACATCCACACATCCACTCGCAAAACTAGGGCTTGTAGGAAATCACTAAACTCAAGCTCATGTGCTTGTTAGGATGGCCAAAAGTAACGTCGCGATTTCAAGTCTTCAAGGTTTTATTCTTATGTAGCATATATTCACTTGTTATCTACCATTCTTTTCCCAATTGATTGATCACTGGGTGGTGATCAATGTCATGCTTGTCTAGTCCTTACTAGTGCAGATCGAATGCTATCGATCATGTTGCAATGTGGCCACCAGTCTAGGTGACTCGACACTGCGAGCACTATGAATTGAGATTTAGATAGTAGTTGGAGGTAGTCAACAGGAAACCCTGGGCCCGGGTTTCGTGCTACTTGGCACTCGTCAGCAAGGTATACCTGTAATCTTGAGGGAACTGGTGCTCCCTGGCGAGTTCGATCTCGTGTCACCCAGCTTCACAGTCAGAGACGTTACCACTGAGCTATCCGAGCCGTGACTAACCTCCTGTAGGACTGAGATGTAATCACAATTGATTGATCACTGGGTGGTGATAAATGTCATGCTTATCTAGTCCTTATTAGTGCAGATCGGGGTTAGTCACGGCTCGGATAACTCAGTGGTAACGTCTCTGACTGTGAAGCTGGGTGACACGAGATCGAATCCGCCAGGGAGCACCAGTTCCCTCAAGATTACAGGTACACCTTGCTGACGAGTGCCAAGTAGCACGAAACCCGGGTCCAGGGTTTCCTGTTGACTACCTCCAACTACCATCTAAACCATTCTTTTCCTTCAGAACAAACACTTTTTGTATTTTTTCACTGAATTCTTTTGCGTTTTACCCCTAAGTCCATTGAGTAATATGGAAAGTACTTATGCTATAGCAACAAAGACGGCCGTTGAAGTTCATAATTCAGGGGTAAATAATGAGTCGAACACCATAGTTTGAAACAATGGAATTATAACAGGGCTCGCGATGACACCAGGAAAAGAATCTCAGATTATTATGTACCACACGGATGGCCTGACCCAAACACCAAAACTGAGTTTCCAACTAAGCAAAAAGGATCACATTCTTACCTATGTTCTTACTCCTAGTAATACCAGTAAGCAAATAACAAATAGAAAACGGAATCCTAATCTGCCTGTTGCACAACTTTCTGGGAGGAAACAACGCAAAAAAGAAAATTGCGTCTCATGCTCATCGCATGTTGAAACCAGCTACGCAATGCTGTGATGTAGTTTCTGTAGATTCTAGTTTCACTGTAGCTATGGTCCTGTAGTAGCTATGCAGAAGTATGGGTTCACATTACATCATTTCTGACCGTGATTCTGATACGTATACTATTGTACTAATTCTCAACAGTTTGTCCAACTTGTCTAGCCCAAGTACAAACAAACAAGAGACCATGGAAGTCACAATCCAAACGTATTTATTTATGCAATCGTAGACTGTCGCAGATTTACCAATCGATATTAACGGCAAGGAGCAGTATGTGGATGTCAGGAAGGTAAATTGAAGTAGTATAGCCTCCAAAAAACTGGAAGTCGTGTTTAAAGACTTCGAGTAATTAGAAACGAGCGCAGACAAATCAATAGATTTGTCAAAACTCTTTTCAATGATATCATATATTTCGCCTCAAAAATGAGGGTTGGGGCAACAAGAACGTTTTGAATCCATTCCGTGACCGTTATATTTATTAACTTTTTGTTACTCAAGACCTAAAACTAAAATAAAATGAATTACCTTCATATATCCAACAATAAAATTCAGTTTCTTAGAAACTGAGCGTCACAGGAAACTTAATTCTTTACTTCATTCAATTTGTGTTCGAAATTTTACTTTTGTTTTACCGTATAATTAAAACATACCTATGTCATTGTAAATATACGGATGAATGACCTGTCCCTGCGCACACGGGGTTACTTCAAGTACTTAACGAACTGTTCGGCAAATAAGGTATCGTTTACCTGTAAATGTATAAAATTCTTTCGTGTAATGATATAGTTTTCGAATTTCCCTCAACAATAACATAATGCATAAATTAGTTTAGTAATTGTTTATGACTATAGGTACTTTGTAGCGATATGTTTTCATGTAAGTTCATATTTAGCAGTTAATTTACGTGGGTTCGTTTAAAATGACATTCTTTAGATTTATTTTCCTACTTTTTATCAGCTCGTTTAGTGACTAGCAGAAATAGAGGGTGACGAAAATGCGCAACATATCCACTTCTGGAAAGTAAAATTAAACACGTGCAAAGATATGAGATATATGATAAAAACATGTAAAGTGACATGATTAGCTTCAGCTACAGTGGATTACAAGTAAAACGTTCGGTTTTACGCTCAGGAAACACAGTAACTACCGAGTAGGTAAAAGACTGTAGCGGTTGAATTTCCTCTTGATTACGCGGTAGTTTTCCATATCCAGTGTTCTTGAAAAGCTAAAATTTCTTAAAATTATTCTTTCTGACTAAAAATACTATCCTGACACTGACCGAGTGGTAGGGTGGAAACTACCTTTGGTCTAAAGTGTTTATTGATTGATTGGACTGATACGTTTAATTGAACAGTTACATTTAGTTGGAAGCTAACTAAGTTGAGAATCTATGCACATCTTATCGGTAAGTTAAGAGCGATTTTCAGCCAACATATCGAATTACTAATTGTACAGTAAACACTAATCATTGGACTGTGTCAAAACTATGAAGGGGGATATGACAATCCACTACCTCTACTGATTTATAAAAAAACTGAATGTCCGTTTGCTTTGGTCTACAGAAAGCAAAGCGATGACTGATTAAAGGCATATTAATACACAAAGATGATTTTTATGAATTAGTTTTTTAGAAAATGTCTGTGTGTGTGCTAAGTATTTAGCTTATAAGTGTTATAGCGGATAGTATTTGCGACTAACTGTCTCAGATATTACTCTGTAAATTGTCTTACTTTCAAGATTAGTTTGCTTTTTGCTATGGACTCGTTTTTTATTGTTCGGATGAAATATACAATTTTGCCGGTACAAATCCCATATATCTATAAAGTGTTCTAAACTGTGCGCGGGAAATAGTCATATTTAGCTTCAGCTGATAAGAACAAAAAGCCAAGGAATTTGTGTCGATTTTGGTGATAGAGTCTCTGCAATAGACTCATGTTCCTTTTATGCATTTTTATGGAAGGGATTATTGGAGCTATCGGTTTCGTTCTTGCTTGAAAAACGTCTTGCATCTAACATATATTTCCGGATTTATAAATAATATTTGCTCGTCTACATATATTTGTCATTTCAAAGACGAAGCCTCGAGATATTTGAGATCTAACGTTTTGATGAAATATTTCAAAATTCATCACTAAATCGCTTAAAATATAATTATACCGATGAAATTAGCCTAGTATTAGTCTAGAAGTTATGACTTTCCGCAATAAATTTTGCTTTAATTTTGTAAGGCTGTCCCAAATCTTCAAATTTCTTGGTAATATTTCTTGTCCAGTAACAAGTTGTGCACCGTATAACAATTATCGACTATTGCTTTGCGTGCTTGAAGGACTTCTTTGCAGTCTTTGGACGAGGATTAATATATACTGTCCCTATTTGGCTCATTTGACTGTTAATTTACTTTGCTCCTTGGAATTGTAACTGTCATATGAGACTTTAGGTTTTGTTTATTTTTAAGGTATCACGTTTAGGTGTGTCTTCGCAGTCACTTCTCGTTTTATAATTTTTGGAACAGTTGAAAAACGGACAATTTTATTCGTTCAGAATTGCAATTATTGTTTGATTTAAGGCGTAATCGTTACCGAAATGCTTGTTCAATTTTTTTGTGGCTGCAAACATCCTGTAGAAACTTTCGTACACTGATTAGTACATTTGATTTTCTCAATTATCTTTGATATGAATTTATTATATCGGCTAAGTTGTATTTCGGACGGGTGTTCCAACTAGATCAGAAGAATTTGATCGGCACGTCTAGTTGTAACTTCATCAGTCAGCTTTCAGTATGCGCTTCATCGATATTATTTAAATTGTTTGTTCGGCACTAAATAATTTCTTTCATTTTTATCATCTGACCTTCGGCTTACAACACATCACATATCCATTTATTGTGCCTTACCTTAATCGTTAAGTTCTACAATTGTGGCTCTTCTGTTGGGGTTCATCCCATACCGTTTATACTGAGGGTCATTATTACTGCGGTATTTAACTATATTCCTAACTCTTTTTGAGTAATTTTTATCAGCACTATGTTTTTCATTTCATGCGTCAGAACGGAAAATATTACTGATTCTATCAACTTGATTTCGACATTGGGCAGATTTTAGAGGTAAAAAGTAGTGCATTCGTTATGTTAGCTTAGACCGAGCCATCACATAAACCACCATGTCTGATTATGGAACCAAAGTATTTGTATGGGTTCACTTCAACATCTCGACTATCGAACAATATGGTTTTGCTTTCGTTTTTTGTTATTATTATTTTAATTTCTTGAGCGGATATGTTCATACCAATATTTCTATGGAAGCCTTGGAGTTTGTTTGGGATTTTGGTTCTTTTTTGTTTGGGTCGTGATACTGATGTTTCTTTGTTTGAGCCTAAAATAGTATATACTGACTCTACGCCTTAAACATGTGTTTACTCGTTCACTTACGTCTTTAGTTTTGCTGTCATTTAGTGATTTTATCAAAAGAGAACGATTTTTGATTGTAACATTTGTCTGAGTTACCTTAGGTTTTGAGTTAATTTGATTTTTATCATGCTTTTTTAAAATGATACAATTGGTGTTTTCCTAAACACGAACCCTGTCTTCTGATAATACTTTCTTGATTAAGCTCGACAACTGTTTTAGTTAAAAGATTTTCATAGTAATATTTTAGAAACACGTCGCTGAGTTTGTATTTTGTCTCATGTCTCATAAAAGAAGTGTTTCTTGATCATATGTTGGCTTTGATTACCCCGAAGGTTTTTAAAAATTTCACACTGTGACTGTGTTAGCTTATGCAATGTCTGTAATGGCTTTGTCGAAGACAAAATGCAGCCAAAGTTGAAAACAGGTTTATGCTTCTTGGCTACATCGAAAATATGTCGTTGCCTTTGTCGTCAAACTATGTTTGTCTCAACAGCATGTATGACAAATCTATTTGCACAATTTTGTGGGCTGTACTTGTGAAATTTGTACAAATATCGTTCATCACTATTTACGAATCAATGAAAACTACTCTCAATATTTTCAGTTACGTTTTCAGTCAAAGTTTAATGGTTTGATGATAAGGTATCAGTTGAAACACATCTGCAGAACAAGGTGTCGCTGTAAAAGGTCATGAGGTCAAAAGTATGCAACTTAGCGAAACGCCTAAACTTGCAGAGTTTAAGAGATAGCTGTTAAAGAGGAAAAGTTATAAGAATTTTAGCACTTTAACTGGAAGTTTAATTAAAGTAAACAAAACAGGCCACTGTTGTGCAACACAACAACGTATGTCGATTTGTTAGACAAAAGCAGGATAAAACATATTTGAAAACATTTGATGGTGTATGGAGTGATTAAACGCAAACATTACATGTGTTTTTATATTGCTTGTAGTGGTTGATCATGACTTTCTAAGTTGGCTAAAACTAGTGCTATAAGATTTTACCAGATGTGATTCAGAAAGGATAACCATAACAGAGTAATTTATTATCTGTTTTATGAATAGTATGATGTACTTATCGACTATCTTGGTTGTGTCTTTGGTTAAATAACAACTGAATACTTGTTGTTCTCATTTTCCGTGTTCCTCAGTAATTGTTTTACTGTCAGTTCATCCTTTAATATGCTGTTAAAAGTTTTGTTTATATTGTCAGTTATTCTTACAGTATATAGCCAAGCCAGAATATTAACTTTTCTTACTTGCCAGTGAGAGGTTGCTCGTGAGATCGAACCATAAGATAAGGGAACAGTGGCACTAATCTAGTCCAAGTATTGATTAGCTCTCTTAGACAGTATCAAATGCCAATTATCTTCGACTAAACAATGGCTCGCTAAATGTAAGATAATGGCCGAGAGTAACACTACACGAATATTGGTCTAGGATGCAGTTTCTTACTCTCATCCATCCGATAGCTGGAGTAGAAAACAACTTAACAAGCAGATAACGCCTAATTATAAAGTTAGTAACTCATACAACAATATTTAGCGAACCCCTGGCCACATCAACAAAGTTAGGAAATTGAGATATGAGCACGATGCGTCACAAGTGAAAGAGAACTGAATGATTGGTCCGTAATAAATTGACAATAAGTTTGGAAAGGTAAAATCCACTACAATAATTTCTAAGTCAAGCTCACGAAGAAAAAAATACAAGAATTTAGTAGTATTTAATGATTATATGACGGAAACATAAATGATAACTTCAAATGAGACCGTTTCAAAAGTTCACCTTTGATTTATATTTATCACAATATAATAGTTTCGCTAAATGAATAGGTGCTAACAATTTTTGACGCATGGTAAACACGAGTAGCAGAGTGTAACATTTGTAGTCTACAATTAAGTGAAAATAACATGACGTTCTTTCGAAAATAAAAAAGGCAGCGTCTTAAAAGTCCTTGAATAATTGAGATCATTAGACAGGACTTACATTATTTTTTCACTTAAAAACACCAACGATTTGTAATGGTAGTGATTACGTTTAAAGCAACAAGAGTTATTTAGTGTCTTTAAGGTTTATAAACGTCGATAATTGTTTTAATTTTATACCATTCACATATATCTACCAAGTAAAAGCTTTACTATGAAAAATGTTTACAGAAAGAATGGAACCGAGCAGTGCTTGTTTTACACAGAGACCCGAAGAATACCGTTATCATGGCTGACTTACAAGATACGGAATATGAGACTTTAGACCTACCTGATACAAAAATAATCATTCCATTAAATTCTTTCAAAGTTTGTCGAAAACATATTGTTTCTGGTCACGCATCAATATCTAATGAGAATGGTCATCCTAACCAAAAGCATTCTTTGAACACTGTTAAAAATGCCATTCCATGTAACCAAATTCATCTAAGTTCGCGATTTTTATTTGGTAAAAAGCAGTTGTGGTTGGGTTTTACATCTCTGTTTGACCAAGATATATGGTATTCATCTTTGAAAACTTTGGTTACAAAGCACAGAAACAAGAAGAATACTTTAAATAGTCCCGATTTACTACGAGCATCTGCATTAAGTTTATCCCAAACATCAGAGTTGGATTTACTTGCTTCAGCCCTGCCAAATATCTTAGATAATGAAATATATGAAAGTACTTCTGCTCAAGGTAAATGATATGTTTTCAATTCTCTTATATTTTACGAATACCCGCTTAGCTTCAAAATGAGCGAGGGGCTATTTTGCAATAACTAGTCAGGCGTCTGTCTGTTCTTTAGTTTATAACCTATTACAGGCTTTCAATTTTGAAGAAATGCACTTTATTATGGTCAAATGTGTAAAGTCACAGATAGACTTGAGCGTACTTTTAAGTGAACCATCATTTTCAATTAGCAAAACACAACCCACTGTGTTTATTGACTTAGTTTGTAAAATAGCATCCATCTGGTCACAAGCTGATTAGTTATCAGTAACGTACATCACATAAGATCTGAAGATACTTAATTTTTAAAAATGTCAGCAATGTTTAAGTCGTAATGTCCTAAAACCATAGGCAAATCCTTTCCCCTGTAATGAAGATTTTCTTTTTTGTTCGATGATAAATCATACAAGTTTCTGATTATATATGTTCGGTTAATAAGTGTCTTCAATATGTTTCTACAATGCAGTTTCGTTTCATTTTAGATCCCTGCTTCAGTTGGTAGCAAGTTTTGGATTGAAGGAAGTGTTTTTTGTACAATTTTAGGTTAAATATACCCGCTTTGAGGGGATACCTTGCTCTGGCCTTCTTTAAAATTAAAAGTAATGAGCATCTTGAATAATTTTCGGCAAATCTGAAAGTTCAAAAATAATTGTAAAATGAAGTTTTATTAATGCAAGGCGCAATGGCAAAAGTCATTTCCTAAAAAAGCGTATCACTTAGTTTTTATAAACATTTCACTTAACAGCACTGAACTATGTATTTCATACTTTTCTGTACTGACAAAGTAAATGAACTCATTTTCGTGTAACCTAAGAACACACATGAACCGGTGGCTTGTTTATTTAATTTTTCTAACTAGGCATAAAGTGTTCTTTAAATTCCTACTATCGTTAAACAGTGTTTACAATATGTGAAAATACCTTCAATGAAGTGATTACTTCAATATGACTCAATGTATAACAACGGAGTCTCTTAAAATTAAGTCAATATTCAGTAGTATATTGCTGCGAAATCATTTTAGTTATGCTTTAAGTTCGGATAACAAGAGTTCGTGATGAAAAATATCTGTTTTCTAAATGGTAATGAATGAATGATATGTAGGATTTATCTTTTTCAATATTTTTCTTTGTATTATTAAAATCACTAATGGCTTTAGCGAACTGATTTTCAAGATATCAGACATTGTGATGCAATGAGTATTGTTAGATTAAAGGAATTTTAACTCGATAATTAACGTTTATAAAAATTAAGGTTTCAGATGTAAATCGTGTATTTTCACTTGTGAATATCTCAAGTGTTTAAAAAATATTTAGATTGATATTAGTGTACGAAAAGTCAATCGTTAAACACATCGGATCCAGAGGGTGGTAGGATTGATTATAATGACTATAGTGAACTAAAAGGCTTAATCATAATTCATATGTGAATTATTTCTGATTATTTCTTGTTCATCTATCTGTAACACCAGATACTAAAATATGGAGTGGAACTTAGCCAATGATGAGTCTATAAAAGATGCAAAGAATTTGGATTTCATTACAATTTTAAAATGTGAAGCATAGAGCGGTCTTCTCATGGCAATATATAATGTATTACTCAACCAGCTGATTTTGAAAATAGTGAATTCAAAAATATCCAGGAGACGTTTACAGTTAAAAATAGTAATAATATTTGATTGTTTATTATGAATTCATTTTTATTTTTATTTTATACTGGCTTTTAGATACATTTTCTGTCTACATAATTCATACAGAAAAATCAAAAGATTTAGGGTTGTTTGGTCGTTACTTACTACGTATAAAAGAAAATGCATTTGAACTACTTGATCCGGACACATATTCAATAGTAAAAGTATGGCCGGTCAAATATGCGCGCAAGTAAGTTCATAAAAATCCACGAGTACGAAAATTATGCACGTATATCATTTATTTGAAAAGTATATCACGTATGTTTCTATATGAAGAAAGTTATTGGACTATCATATGCTAATTTAGAAACCCTCAGCAACGTACGACTTCTGTATTTCACTTAACTTTGAATCCTTGATTTCCTACACTAGTTCTCAATCATCATTGATGATAAACAGGAAAGTGGTTTACATTACAAGTCAGCATCGATTTTCTGCCATTTCATTTTATGGAGATTTATAAAAACGTACATTTATAAGTTTGATGTAATAAGTACAAAACACTTACACAATGACAAATTTAGTTAATCCTAAATTTCAAATGAATTTCTCAACCTATGAATGATTTTCAGATACTCTGATGGCTCTAATAGACACTTGAAGTAGCTGAATTAAGTTGTGGTGATTCGAGTTAGGTATGAAACGTCCTGAATATTACGTTTCAAAGACAAGTCACACACTTCCAAGTAGTTAGATCTGTAATGAATCATTTATATGGTACTAACAACGCCAATCTGACATTCAATTTTGTCGTATTGGCGTGAATTTTAATTATTATCATCTGCCTATAGCAGTTTAGTGTTTGAAATAACTTTGGTAGGTTAACATATCATAATCCAAAGATATTATTTCTCCCAGTATAAAATGTCGAGTGAATTATTAAAAAGCTTCCAGATTATCTACATGAAAACTGTTTGTTAATGAAGCAATTATTTTTATTATTTTTCGTATAAGTAACTGACTGTGGATTTGGTCTTTTTTCAAATGTCAATTCAAAACTATGACTTTGAATAAAGTTGATACTATTATTGCAGAATGTTTTTATTTGTACAAAATTAAGTCCTTGTTCAGAATAAATATCTCATCAATTTTATGCATCATATCATGTATTTTATAATCCTGATCAAACGGTCAATACCGTAGATTCTTTACTTTTATCCACCGCCAAACGGTCTTCCGGTGATTGTTGTTTAGTTGCAAGAACTTTAAATGGCGTATTATTTATCAAATACGAAAAAAAATTTAACACATATAAAACTATGGTTAGTAATTTTTTCACTTGATATTATATTTACAATTTACGCATTTATTTAAGATGCTATTGATGAACGATGTCATTAGTATCTCCACACACAGAAAACTTTTCTGTTCATGGAGAATGAAGATGGTTGATCAAATGTGAAAAGACAATTTACCTGACTCCAAAGAAAATACGTTTGCCCGTTCTAGATCAAGGCTAGTTAAACCACATACACTACCATTCGGAAATGTTTTCTAGGTTTTAAAGGACAGGTTTAAAATAATAAAACAGCCGAAAACGTAAATATTTCAAAAACTACATTATGAATAACAAACAACTTAAAGTTATGCGTATTATTTAAGATAAACTCACGTAATGGATCCTCTCCAACAGCACAATGTTTAATAAAAATATATATTTCCTTAAAAATTGGTAAACACAAACCTCTGAGTGATGAGGTTTGTAAAGTTGCGTGAGGAATTTTCCAATTAATAAAAGACTTACTCACTCACTTACTCCTGTTACACCTCGTGATGAAGCAGAGGTTGCCCACCAGTATTCTCCATCCAACTCTGTCCTAAGTAATCTTTCAAGTTGGTTCCAGATGTCATTCATTCATTTAGTGTCTGCTTCCGATTCCCGATCCAATGTGTTCTTTGATCTGTTTCTTCCCCTTTTGAATTCAAGATTCCATGTTAGGGCTTGTCTAGTGATGCAGCTTGTTTTTTTCCACAGTGTACGCCCTATCCACCTCAGATGTCTTTTCCTAATTTCCTCTTCAATTGGAAGTTGGTTTGTTCCCTGTCATAGCAGTTTGTTGTCGACGCTGTTCGGTGGATGGATATCGAGTATCTTGCACAAAAGACTGTTTATAAATACCTGTACCTTTCCCATGATGATTGTGTTAGTTCTTCAAGTTTCACCTCCGTACAGTAGGACTGTTTTGATGTTTGTATTGAAGATTGTGACTTTGATATTGGTTGACAGTTGTTATGAGTTCCATATGTGGTTCAACTGTAGGAATGTTGTCCATGCTTTTTCAATCCTTGCATTTATGTTTGCATCAGATGTTCCTCGATGATAGTGACCAGGTACGTAATAGTTTCCAGCTCTCTCAGAGCTTTTGCATCAAGTCGATTGGGTTGGTGTTCTCTGTGTTGTATTTAAAGATATTGCTTTTCCTCTTGTGTATGTGGAGGCCTACTGCTGCAGAGGCTGCTGCTATACTAGTTGTCTTGACCTAAATTTGTTGATGTGTATGGGATAGAAGGTCCAGTTCATATACGAAGTAAGAAAAATAAGACTGGTGTTAATAGAGATTTATTAACTCCGAAAACACAACGACGACCCTAGTCGAAAATACACTCACCTATAAATTGATTGTACACCCATTTCGATTGTTAACTAGAATAAAATGACATATATGAAAAATACCTAGAGTTATAACAAATAACATGATGTATGTTATGCCGAGCATAGTTCATATTAATTTAATAAAAGAATATCGTATGTTATACCGAATAAAATATAACACTGGGAAACAAAACCAACACAACACTGAGTAATTATCATATTGAATTAAAATGCAAATAATCCTGAACAAAAATCACAATGAGTAAAAGAGTGTAATTTTACCTTTTCATCTCGTCATACCACTCTCACGTTTTCGATTGACCTTCTGAATTTTTTATGGATGCAAATATGATCAATCTGGTTCTCTGTAGTATGCTCCAGTGAGACCCATGTAGCTTTGTGTATGCGTTTGTAGGGGAATATTGTGCCACCTGCAACCATTTTGTAGAATTCACATAAATTTGCAAACCTATCACCATTCTCATTCCTTTCTCTCCAATCAGTCGATGTCGTCCTATGATATCTTCGTATCCAGTGTTATCCTTTCCCACTTTGAAGTTTTGGTCTCCCATGAGAACGGTCAGGTCCTTTCAGTGAAAGAGTTAATTAACAATTATTACGTCCTTAATTCAGTGTTCCTGGTATATGTTTATCATTTTGATTAGCTGGTTACTCATCAGTGAAGTAAATTTATCTACAGTTAGTAAGAAATTGCTGAAATGAAATAATTCCATGCTGTCATCTTTACGTTATTTTACTCGTAGCACACGAGTTCACTGTAAAATGTAGAGGGTACACAATTGAACCTCTTACGATAATTAATTGAATCTACAAACTACTGAACATTCCATCCATTCAACTTCTCATTCAGCGGTCGGAGTTCCTCTCAGAATTAGCATGTTAGAAATAAGATTTTTAACCTCCGAAGTAAAATACAAGTTGACGCATCTTAAGTTTAACCAGACTAAATATATAAAATCCTATTAAAGGACAGATAGATTGGAATACCTTACTTGAAATCTCATAAATAAGTTGCAAGTGATGTATATATGATGTTCATGAAATGGTTCACCAAAAACTCTCTTTTTGTACCGTTAGGTACATTTAAACCAATCATTTTGCCATTCATTTATTTTCATTTTATGTTTAAGTGCAATAGTTTTCGATTAGCATTTTCACTCATTTATATTATATTTAGGAACAGAATTTAGCTAGTTGTAGTTCAAATTTTAAAAAATGATCATTTTCATTTTATTGTCTTGAGTTTATCATTTTATGTTTCATTTTGGGTAAACTGAAGTAATATTACTTCGAATAAATTTCAAAATCTAACCTCAAGTTATGTGAATTTCTTTAGCTGAGAGAATAAGCCATTTACATGAACAAAAAATACATATTATCATAATAGTTTTATTTGTTCCTACGAAACAGCCGTTCAGCGCTTCCAGGTTTTCCATGGTCGTCTAACTTCAATTGACTCATGATCTCAACTATTAAAATAACTATAATATCCTCAAAACCCCTTTCTAGTATTAATCAACATATGCTCACTAGTGACTAGCTTCAAGAGGTATTTCCTGGAGTTCTAGTGAGAAGCAGTGACCAGTGGAGTTCTACCTGTTCTGTTGTGAGTTTGTTACACTGAAGACAACTGTGGATGTGTCGCTCAATTTCGTGGATTAGTTGAAGTTAGACATTAACACCGTTGGATACCGGCTCAGTGGTCTAGTGATTAAGTGTCCGCGCGCGAGACCGATAGGTCTTGGGTTCGAATCGCGCGAGGCGGGATCGCAGATGCGCACTGCTGAGGAGTCCCAAAATAGGACGGAACGACCATCTAGTGCTTACAGGTTTTCCATGATGGCCTAACTTCGATTGACTCATGATCTCAACTACTAAAATTACTATATAAATGTTGCCAACACCTATGCTGTTTGAATTATGTTAGATCGACAGCAGTTGCTTATCACTAGAGTGTTCTTAAGTTTTTTATTAACCCTAATTATGTACAGCCTTCTGTTCTGCAGCTCGCAAAATAGTTATCTTTAGACCTATTTATATAATTATCCTTTTTATTTTATGTGAGTCATCATTTATATCTGTCTATCATTTGAAAACACACGTAAATAATAATGAAGCTTTTATTTATCGATCTGGCCCTATTATGTAACATAAATTAACTGTTTTGTACACAGATATGTAATTGGGTATGTCAACGTTAGTGTGTCACTTTCTTCATACATAATTAGAGAGTCACTTACATGTAACTGAAATATTTATACAATGTACACATACAAAATTATCTATAAATCTATTCATTCCTTCTATATTCTGCTCATGATTTTCTCTCGTAATATGTTTCATATTGAAATAACCATTGATAGAATGAAAACTATTGGTAGCAACATAATTCAAAATAAGGTAATGTTTTATACAAACATAGATCGTATCTAATAACAGAATTAGGAATTTAAATTTAATCTTGTTTAATTTGTCATTTGGGTTTACCTCCATCTTTGCGAAGTGTTATTTTTCAAGGGATTAAAGCTCAGTCTTTTTAAGAGTTTGAGCTCTAGTGTTTGGGTTGACTAGTTATTAACATGGACTAGAATACAATATATGTAGTTGGAGCAAACCAAAATTTAGAATATATAGTTATCATTTTCGGGAGATTGTTTGATAATGCTACCTGATAAATTTGACTTTAGTACACATACTTAGTAGCAAGATGGCTTTGATGAACTAACTTTATTTTCTAATACGAAAGCAAATAAATCTAATATAAATAATATAAACAACTTCTGTCAATGTGGTAGGGTGGTTTAATGAAATGTTGTTTGTAACGTATTGTTTAAAAAACTAACACGGTATCACCTTGGCATTTATCTCTAGTGGCCATATCTTTGGTCCATATCTCCCATGTTTTGTCGAAAAATTGAAATCCAGGAAGACTTTGTTAAGTGCTTTAGACAACTGTTCACATGACTTACAATGTTCTCAAAATATGAATCTCATCAATTTTTCTTGTGTAGTTTCATTCTACTCATCGAAAATTGTGGTTTGTTTGAATCTTGCAACAAGTATGGCAACGAGAACTGATAGTTTTAAAATATTGAAAGTTAAATCGTTTACTTATCACGAAAATGAGATTATCTAAATTTAACAATGGAATCACTCAGCTTCGTTATTTTATATATTTGAGGCCATGCTTTTAATCGTACTGCTTTCCAAACTAAGATTCTCTTAGATAACTTTGTAAGAAAACTTGTCAAATGTCTGAAAAAATGAGAATATTTCATAAAATATTCTTTGTTAAAGGGCCAGTTAAAAATTTTAAGATTGTATTGAAGATGCAAGTTTGTTCGTGGAAATCGTAGGAAATCATCTAACAATAGTACTGAAATCTTTTACATTGCATTGCTGTTTTAGAATAAATTATGTATTAATAATATTGTAACTATACAATCTTTCTCATTTTATCGTTATAAGTACTCTGAGGAGTCACTATCTGGTTAATAAAAATTCCCAGTTTCTAGGCAGAAAATCCGAAACGATTATTCTTTCACTGTGATAAATAAAATAATTGTAAAATGAGCCTTTAACAACCTCTTGTTTAATATATTTTGGATTGTTAGCTGCATGCTTTCGAACTTAATTACAAGCAGTTTAACTTTCATGTCGTATGAAAAAAGTTATATAACACTGGTAAATAAAGAATGATATTACATTTCATAATGTGTCTCACAAGGTAGATCATTACATCCGGTTTGATCGTTGTAAAGCCATGACTTTCCGAGTACCAAACAGTACGTTTTTATCATACATCTGTTCATTCTAAAATTAATGCACCCCTGTAAAGTTGTTAGTGATGAGGAAATTTTGAAATGTAGGTAAAATTCAAAACACCTATAAGAGTTAGTCATATCTGTTTAAAAATTAGCGCACTACTATTAATGCTAAGCGACTGCGAGGTTTAGCTTTATCTTTACAATCTTTACACGCTTGGCAGTGTATATAAAGAGTAGATCATAGAAGATATATATATATATATATATATATATATATATATATATATATATATATATATCTTCATTATTATTCACATCAGTGTGTCACTTGTATTGCTCAGTTATTCGTGAAATTAACTGGTTGATTCAAAAGTTAACGATGTAATGTAAATAGAAGAAGAATATTTTAAATATATTTGATTGACCCAACCATACCAAATGCCTGTCTGTCTTCCTCATTTGTGAGTCATTAAAAAAACTAGTTTGAGAGATTCTTCTTTCATTATTCACTTTTTTAGAACTTGAAAGTTTATTTTTACCTATACATTTTCGTGCCTTCGTTGCAAGCTTCATCACAACCATCATCTGTTAACTGTCATAAAAAATAAATGTAAATGAATCCAAAGAGGAATGGATGATGGCTATCACTGTAAACTGGGACGTGTGTCCCGTCTTATTTGAGACTCATTAGCTCGATATACATGCATCCTAGAGTTCATAATTACTTCAGAATTAAAAATGTAAATGTGTATTAGAGCTCAGTTTATATTCTTTCACTTTACTTCAATCAATCTATAATATATTTTGGAACTAGAGAGTGCTTAGATTGTTAATCCATGTCAAATTAAGTTTGAACATGTAGTTTTTTATTCCTTTTATTAGCTATGAACTTCTAGAACAGTAGTAATAATAGATCAATGTAAAATGTTAAAATCCTGGTAACCATCAGTGTATCAAGTCTAGGATTTTTAAATACTTTTAATAGGTTCAAAGATTGAATATCGTTAAAATAGTTTTCTAAAACTCCTCATTTGTAACTGAAAAACCCATCGACACTAGCTTAAGCGTAGTTATGAAGATTTCACGTTCAAAGTTTTCAACCTATTACATTCCCATCTTCGATTTACTACTCTAATTTTACCAGCAGAATTATTAATGCAGCCTTGGTTTAATATTTATTGTGGCAGTAAACATATATGAAAATTATTACCAGTAACTGACCACTCATATTGAACCAAATATTAAAGGCATTAGTCACTAATTTCCTTGTGTTTATTCTCCACTAGAAATCATCCACACAAAGGTAACCATAAAATGCCATTTATACATTATTTACCATTTAGTGATATAGAATTGTTAAAAAAGGAAAATTTTCATTATTAGTGCAGCTGAACTAGCTAGTCTATTGACACATGTTTAAACATAATTCTAGTTAGCTATTTAAAATGTAACATAATATTTTCTATTTCGAAATACCATTTAAACAGACACTTTACTGTAATTTTATGTGCTGACCTATTCATATTGCATCTCTCTGTGACGAATTAAAAAAGCATTTATTACAAGTGTTGATATTCCTTCTATAGGCAATATGACTAATTAAAAGTAAACTCTAACAATCAAATTTGTGTTTAATATTCACAGAGTTTTAGTTTTAAATTTTACGACAGTTCAACCTTTCTTAAAGTAGAAAGTAAAACGTATATTTGATCTTAATTTCTTATAAAAACATTCTGAATTTATGTAGATTCGGTGTGTATACCAAACGTTTTTATTTAATAACTGGAAGTGGATGTGAAGATGGTCGCGGATTGTTCATCTTTCTAATAGAGCATGCTGATAAATTTCAATCAAGACTATTTCGTCAAATGAAACAATTAACTATGCAGTCTCAGTTATCTAGACGTGTTACCGACTCTAGCAAATGGATAATAGATCAAGAGATTAAAAAGGAATCTAGTGAATTTCACTTAAATGAAACAAATCATTGTTGGTTTTCGTCAGAGCCTAGAAAAAAGAAAAATATTCTAACGTCTCTCAACTCAACTGATCCGTTGTTGAAAACTAAACCACGTTCCCACTCTGTTAATGAATTTCTATTACAAAATATAGAATCAAATAATTTACATCAAAGGCAAAATTCTTCAAATATGTTACCAAAAGAAATATCTGTCTCATTAGCTTATGATAGCGATGCAAAATCTTCATCATCATCATGGATATTTCCAGAGGAAAACTTCATAATAACGTCCGGCAAATGTTTTGCTGAACGTTCATGTCAAACTATATTTGAAGTAAATACAGCAGAGCAGTTAAAACATTCTAGTAATGTTAATTCACCACGAGTAACTGTAGTAAAACAACAAATACAAGAAAAAAACATGATTCATAATGATTATAGTTCTCAAGAAACATTCATTTCAGAAACACTGTGCGAACGTGAAGATGATAATGTTTTTCTAGAAAAAGAAGAGGAAGAAGATAATTTAAGCGAAGCTTCACAACCCGTTTATGCTAATGCTGAACAAATCACCAATACGATGTTCAACACAAAATATTCCAATAATCATAATCAAAAATTACTAACAAATAGTGGAAGCAATGAGGATGAAACAACAGTGACATCATGGTATGTTTAACGTATTCTGGTATAAATTTGTTTTTCATCGTTAGATCTTGGCTGATCAAAAAAACTGTTATAGCTATTGATTTCACTGTACTGTCTACTTTAGAAGTCAGCTGTCATTATTACAAAATTTTCCTGAGACTATAACCAAGAATCTTTGTTCAGGAAATTAACATCTAGTTTACGCGCATAAAGGGGAGATAAATTTTAAGAACGGAGATATAAATGATGTCACAAAGTAATTTTAGTTTCAAAAATACTCAGTTAAGAAAAAAACTGAAAGTGAGATTTTATTGGTATACGTTGATGAACACGCACGTCACCAAAGATCCATTGCTTTTAGAATATTAAATACAGTCTAACAGACTTTTAATTACAATCAGGACTATTCACCATAGAATCAATAGTTGTAATAAATGTGTCAAAAAACTAGCAAAATCATTACTTTTGAAGTGAAGTCAAATTATAGATTTTGTCATAAATATTATTTATTTGAAAACATTTATATAGTAATAAATTGCTATTCTAGAGTATGTTAAAATCCACACTTTGCGTGTTATGAGTTTGTGTAGTGGTAAACTCGGTTTAACAATTGGATTGAGATTGATCGTGAAAAGAACAGTTTTTTGTTTTGTTTGTTTATTATACAAGACCCATGAAAACATTCATGATCTCTCAAAAATGAATGAACACATTAGTAGAGCTGAATGATTAAACCGTCCAAATCAACAGAACTAAACAGAATTGGACTATACACTTGATTTTAGTTTTTCCATCACAAAGATTTTATTTTTTGTATATATTATAGCTGTACTGATCCAGTAATTTTTGACAAAGTATTTCAATCCTCAACATGGCATTCTTTACTTTCAAAACGAAATACCTTTTATTTTCCTGATAGTCATCTTGAGTCAGACACTTAGATATCTATATTATTAAAAGGGCTACTTATACTTTATTATTGCCAGAAAATGAGTGTTAACAGTATCTTCGCTACCTTTCTTTAATCCGTTGTCATGGTTTTTTCTACCTATCATTACTAATATACAAAATGTCTTTGAACCCTATGATTTTATTCACTGTCAACTTTTTAATGGTTAGCATTTACTTGTAATATTATGTGAAATCGAATAAACTATTTTATGCAAATTAGACTAGTAATAAATTGCACGAATAAATCTTAAAACATAAAGTGAATATTGATTAGGGTATTCACAAGTGGAAAAAATCTAGTCGTATTTTTACTTTGTAATTTGAGCCTTTTGTTTGACTTCAGTAGTTAAAAGGGGGGACTGATTTATTTAGAATGGTTGATTGAAGCTTACGTTCTATCTTCATATTGCATACTTATAGAAACGTACAACTAAATCCCTATATTAACTAAATGTATTGGTTATTTATGCATTTTGTAGTTAATTATTTATTCATTCGTTTCTTTCCATTATTCTTAGTATTTAGTCACTGACGATGATTCAGTATCTAAGTTTTAGTAAATACTGGAACACAGATGACTTAGTTTTATTCACAAAATATTACTCTTAAGTTGATAGTTTGACTGATATTGTTTGCTAGTGAAACTTTTGTTGTTCATTTGACCAGTACAACATCAAATTAGTTCAGCTTTGATAGTATTGAATACTCTTGCCGTTTAATGTCTCTACTAGTTTTTAACCAACAGACTTAAAAGATTGCAACAGCACAAATGGAAATATTAGTTATAAGTAATGAAATTCAGTGATACCTAAGACTAAAACCCCCAACACAAATTTCAAACTTGTCATGCTTATTTTGATTTCAGTACGGACTATTTATCAGTGGTTTATTTCGGCAGATTCATTAATCGTAAAGAAAATTACTACTTATTTTCTGAGAGATACTTACCTTTCTATCAAAGTAATGTCATCTAAAGGCTGGAAACATATTTCCTGTCTTTTTACTTTAATGGTAACTATGTAGTTCTATTGTGACCGATAGGTTGGTGTTCCAATGATTCAGAAATCAGTAAAGATCATGGAGTACATCTGCTCCTCCGTTTTTCAATAGGCTAAAGTAAAAAATAATGTTCTACTGAATTTTATTTGAAAATATGTGTGGAAAGTTTAGTACAGTACTTATCGTAGTAACTTAGTAGTCACAATGTGATTTTCATGTTAATATAATGATCTTTAATCCTTTTGAGGGTATAATTTATTTTATTTTTAGTGTTGAATATTCATCGTTTGCACATACTATAAGTCTACAAGGTTATCATTTATTTATTTATTTAGAACAACAAATGAATAAAGTTGAATGGTTTCAGAAATTTACTAATGGCGTGGGGATAAATGGTTAGAGTTTGGTTTAAAAAATGGCAGTTTTAATTATTCAAGTTCGAGAAATGAGGAAAATTAGTGTTTAAGTTCTTTTAAATAAAATTATTCGGCTTTTATGAATGTAATTGAGTCGCGCAGACTATAGACCTCTGCTATGATCTGATTGATTAATTTAAAAATCTTCTGTGGTCTACAAATTTAGATTGGTGTTCCTCACATCTCTGCTGCTTATTTATAATAAATCGCTCATCAGTACAGTTGATTTATAGCTTCACAAGTTATGTAACAGTATGTTGTTAGTTACTGACACTTTTATATCGCCAATTCCATTTGATGATGGTAATGAATACAAACAAAAATCAGATTGAAATGGTTACAGAGAAGTTTGAAATTACAATAAAGTGTTTGAAATATCCAATGTATCAGTAACTTTCGAAAACAGTTTGAAATGATCTATACATTACGTAGGTGATTTTATTTATGTTTCTAGTCGTTCTAAATATGATTCCCAAAATTTTTATTAACTTCTCAATCCTGCTGAAAAAGCCTTTAGCCATGGAAATCTATGTAGTTCAGTAAAGACACTTAATAGCGCAACGCTTAGGATTTCAACTAAAAACTACGTGTAAACAATAATTTAGGTGTAAATGCCCAACTCTCAATCGAATATGGTTTCAAATTAGACTTATTTAAATGTGTCGGCTGGTCAGTGAACTTAGATTTCTTAAGATTTTTTTAACATTTACAGGAACTTTTCTAGGCTAAAAAAAACTTCTTTTTCCAAATTAGTCGACGTTTACATGTTTAAAATTTGATGCGAAATAGAATAAGTCCCGGCATCATACATTCAGAATACTTCTTTATCCAAATACATCGTTTTTATAAATTGAAAGGTTGTCATCAAAATTTATGACGTAATAGAATGGGTTCTACACCACCTTTGGATGCTTACTAATATCTTTTTTTGCTCTATAATATTTGGTAAACGCAAACATTACAAATCTACTTTGCTTTCTATACATTTGAGATTTTATAATAATCAGCGACGTATTATTATAGACTGTGTCCTTTTCTTTGGTTCACTTTTTTATTCTTATCAAGTTACTGAATGAGAGGATACTTGAGAAACAGATATTGGAGAGCTTCAGAAATTGGTTGAAACTATCATAATGAATAATCTATTTAATTTCAGGTTATCATAGAAAATTCATTTTTAGATATATGAGAATGTTCTCCAATTTTACCATACTTATAAACTTTGAATTACATTATTTAAACAGAACGTCTGTTTCAACATGTGTCATACGAGTAAACTAAACTTAAAAATAAAGCTGTTCATTGATTTGTAGTTAATGATGTGAAAATAATTCAATTAAGAATGCTTTATGCATTTGTTGTCCGAGGTTCAGTAGAGAAATCAATGAATATATGAAGTGGCCGTGCAAATGAGTAATTTGTCATTCACAAATTCGTGTGGGTTAGTTCTTGGGCGAAAATAATACTTATGTATTTCGAATCAACAATTTAGACATTTCGTTATACACCATTAATTATATCTCTAGGAACTATAGAAAGTTTAACAAGTTTATAAAAACTCTCTGCAGTATTAAAGCCTATACTGGTAATCAAATTGAAGGTAAATCTAACCCCTGGATTAAGTATCTAGTTCTCAATATGTATCAGGTGAAGAGGATGATAATCAAAGAGCAGGCTTGCAAATTCCTTTTAAAAGTTGTATTTTTAGAATAAAAGTAGTGAATGTGAGATAGAAAAGAGAAATATCTATATCTGACGGAATAATAAAACAGAATATGAAGATTCGAATTCTATCACAAGCTAATGAGTTATAGATGACAACAACAGGGCTAGAAAAAACCTGATTGGTAAAATATTTATATAGAGAACTGAATGATCTTTTCTAGTGAGCAAACAAACGTCATATAAATAAGATCGAGCACAAAAACGGGTTAAAGGAAACGTGGCGAAAGACATAAGAACTACACTAAGAAATAATGTAGCCATATAAAATAAGGTTTCGAGCAGAACTATTGACTAATCAACATTTACTTAACTGTAAGACAAAACAGCGTTGAAAATACTGTAATCGAATTTATTAAAACTACATTAAGTGAAATACTTACTTTACTTACGTACGCCTGTTACTCCTAATGTAGCATAGGCCGCCGACCAGCATTCTCCAACCCACTCTGTCATGGGTCTTCTTTTCTAGTTCCATCCAATTCTTGTTCATTTTTCTCATGTCTATTTCCATTTCCCGGCGTAATGTGTTCTTTGGTCTTCCTCTTTTCTTTTGGCCTTGAGGATTCTATGTGAGGGCTTGTCTTGTGACGGAGTTGGACGCTTTCCTCAATGTGTGTCCTATCCACTTCCAGCGCTTCTTCCTGATTTCTTCCTCCTCTGAGATCTGATTTGTTCTCTCCCACAGTACGTTGTTGCCAATAGTGTCCAGGCAACGGATCCTAAGTATTTTGCGTAGACAACTGTTAATAAACACCTGTATTTTCTGGATGATGGCATGAATAATACCACCCACAGTAAAAAATCATCATCGTTTACATTTAATGATAATATGGCTAACTTAATGAAACGTTTTTTGAAATTTCAGCGTAAAATAAGATTTTTTGTTTGCTGTAGATGATCATTTACTTTTTCGAAACTCTATTATTAACTGATACATTTTGAATGTTTTCAAATTATAATTATTAAAAACAGCATCTTACAACTAATCTAAGATGCGTAAAAATAACAAAATGATACAAATCATCTTACAGTCATACAAGGTTTCAGAAGAAAATCAAGCTTATTTTACCTTCTGAAATGGCAAGAAACACCCTTTCAAATTAACTTAACTCAGTAAATTTAATATATTCTACATCAGGTTATTAAAACTAGGCGGAATTTTAACAATTATTGATTGTTGCAATCTATTTCTTATTTTACGTATAGATAAAACAATCTTATCCATTTAATTTACATTTATATAAAACATTATTTCCTTCTTTATTTCTTCACTTGTTTTAAAGCTCAATGAATGTGAACTCACCAGTGTCAGCAATTAGCGATACACCATCTCTGTTAACGTCGTCATCATCTACTTTAATAAATAAACCAGTTAATACTTCGTGTTCATATACAAAAAATTGGAAACTTGGTTACTTAATTGAACCAATAATGGAAAGAGAAGAACAAAACTCACATAACTCATCTATATCCGTTGGTAATGAAGAATGTAATACAGCTTATAAAGAAGAATGTGATGGTTTAGTCACTTCATCAACACCAGATAATGATATAGATATAAAAAAGATTAGCAATACTTGTCTTAGTAAATCACCGGCTGATGAATTAGAAAATACAGATGACGAAAACGATTCGGTTTGTGAAAATGTTCAGTTAACAAAAGAATTTCAAAACATTTTAGAAGACGTAAAATTTTATCGATTGGTTTCAAGATCAGCTACTTGGGATGGATGGATGAAATTGAAGACAAATACAAAACAAGAAGTTACGTCACAGAAAGTTATTGTACAAACGGGTACCAACATTGAAAATGACAATGTTACTACAATTATTACTAATACTAACGATCATCACGACAGCCCTAAAATGAAAGATAATTCACATGTTGTTGTGATGACAGCATTTTGAATTGAATAACGGTGGTGTAATTGGTAATGAGTAAACTAACATTTATTTTCTTATTAATTTTACCCATCAACTATATGTTGTTCATTATAAAAAAATACTTATGAAATGGAAGATTTTTCATTTCATTGTAGGTACTCCCATGTGATTAACAGTTGTATACAAAACGAAAATATTTTCCTGGGAATTCATTAGTGTATGGTTTGATTTATATTACTTTTTATTTAAAAAACACTTAAATTTTGTTGAGCACAAGATTATGAAATTAATGATAAATCGAATGAAAGCTTGTTAATATGATTAGGATTTATTAAATGCAAAGTTATAATGATCAAAGTCAAGTTATAATACATATTTCATAACATTTTTATAACAGAATATGAAGTGAGACTCTAGATTCAATTTAATATCTTCAATCGTGATCATTTTTTTCAATCATCATTAATTCAGTACTTTCTATGGAGTATAATGCTTTTCCATTTTATCTTGTTTTGATTCCGTAGACAACTAGTATTAGGTTCTGTTTTTTATCTTTCTAAATAACTTCGTTCAGTTAATAACTTTTAGATAAAGCAGTTTTTAAATTCCAGATATACCGATTGTTGAAATATGAGAAATAGATAGTTATGTGGTAGTGTAACTACACTAAGAAATAAAGTAAAACTGGAAGTTATGAGTTAAGGATAAACAAAGGCATCATAGACATTTTTAAATTATGTGTAGGGAAGAATGGAAAATACATGCGACATACATATCTACGTCACTGTATTTCTTTTATCTAGAGTTCAGAAGTAAAGAAATCAAATATGAACAAGTTATTTTCTATTTTTTGAAGTTCAGAATTTATGACAAAAATTTCAAACCCGATGTGGATTTTAAATTAAAATACCTCCCTTAAATGTAGATTCCACTTCACTTATCATCGTAAAATATGATGATTTTGGTCAATTGTTTCACAAGCAGAACATAGCCGATTCCTATTCAGTTAATTACATAGTACCTATTTTCTACTTCTTTGTATTATTATTATCTTGAAAAACGGATTTTCAATATTTTAAGTCAATTATATGTGAACTATCTTTTTCATCATATGATTATCTTATGTATTTTCTAATTTACGTTTAAGAAGCTTATAAGTAGTCAGAAAATCCTTTCAACCCCCAGTTTAACATGTAGTTCAATTCTGGACCATATAAACTGACTGAAGCACAGTTGAAACTTGACGGGAAGGCATATTTCACTGCTAGATCAGTATGGAGCATGTTATTAAATCTACCTCGCATTGGTTATGTTATTTCATCTAAAAATGAACTGTTTGTTGGATTTGTAAATTTTAAATAAGGGATTTCATTTCACGAAGTTTTTATTATGACACTAATAATCACACAATAGAGATTTTTATTCTTTAGGAGTTTATCCTGACTGTGACAGACGATTCTTCTCAAGATAATGGCAACATAAAATATCGCAAAATGGTATTTTTAATAAGGCTTTTGTTATTTGTATTTTAACGAAATATTGATTAACAAAGTATCCATTCATTAGTAGTGAACAAGAAATCAGCCCGTAGGAGCATGAGGGATGTCTCTGAAATAAAAGAATACACTGTCCAATTTCTATTCAGTCACCCAAATTTGTATTTTAAACATAAAAATCTCATCTTAATAATAAAACAATAATTACTAACCCTAACAAAACAGAGTTCAAGTCTAATTGAAAAGTGAGCATCGAATTAATATTTGGCTAGTAAAAAACATTTCATATCCAAGTAGATAGGAAAGCCACTAGAGACCTGCTGTTTGAACTTGGACTCAGCGTTATTCCTGCTTCGATTTCAAGTATTGCAAATGAAATGACATATGGATGATAAAATATTTCATATAGAAAAACATAAGTACAGAGTTCAAGCTTTGGAAATCTAACTACAGTCATACACCTCGCTGTGAACTTTTAAATTTATATTTTTAACTACTTGCTAGTAACATGTCACATTGGTTAGAATTTCCAGCTCGATTTAACCATAGTGGGTAAAAGTTTTTTAAACATCTTGATATTACTTTTAAAGATATGAATTCATTCTAAGTAAAAATTTAGTGAATTAATCGCCAACATTCTGTTCACGTAAATGTTTTGATGTTCCGTCTATCTATTCTAATACATCATAGTCATAAATAACATTCACTCCAACGCAATATAAATGTAAATATATATACAAGTTCAAAGCAAACTTTATTAAATACTGAAATATACAGTAAGTAGTAATTTTTTTATGAAAAAAAATCAGAGGTTTCAACATAATTCATATTGAGATATTTCATTAGATTTCAAAATCACTGGTTTTTGTGTACGTTACCTAATATTGCAGAAATGTTATCTGATTATGACAGATAAGTATTCGTTAATAAACAGATGAAATAATTTTTGAAGAAATTCAGTTAATACCAGCCATCTAATAGTTTCATTATATTTTAGTTTCATTCGCACATTTGAAATAAAGTACTTCGTAAGAATATTGAAAGTAAAGAAATTATTTCGAACCTTTTCTTCAAACAAATTAAACAATTAAAGATTGAAAAGTTGACAGTCTTTTACTAACAATAACTATGTCTTTTTATATTTTTTAAACCAAAGGAGAGAGATTCAACATTCAAAAAAGATGAGGTTCAGGTACTTACTATCTCACATATATATGTGGTAGAACTATATTCACAAATTATTTATAGGGTTTCCCTAAGGATATAATAAGAAAAGTGTGTTCCCATTTAGCTAAAGAAAATAAAAATGCTTTTGAGTGACCGTTTAAAAAAAATTAACGATCGCCACTGTCTTAAATAATTTAGTACATTACCTGAAGTATTTCCGCCTGACTCTCTGTCCCAAACGTACCAACAATACCACACTAATTGTTTTTTCACTGATATATTTAACCGTACCTTTATCTGGACTGAAGTGTGCGTTTTCTCAGAAATGTTATGTTTTGTGGTATCTAACGATATTTTCAAATGACAATAGATTAAGATTTTAGTCTTTTATAAGACTAGATCAACGCAAGGTAGATAAATCAAATAACCAGTACACTGCATTACTTCAAAGTTAATCATTTACCCACAAATAAAAGAGACAGAATACTATAAATTCAGGAAATCTTTGATATTTTCTACAGAAGGCGAGATGTAATACAATCGTTCTATTTATATAGAACTAACAGAAAACTTAGAGATATGTAAAAAAATGAGGAAGTTGAGGAAGAAACAACTAATCAGATAGTTGTAAAGTTAGAAGATAATTAACTAACAAATTGACGAAATTACACAATAAAATTCGTGTTTCATAACAGTATAATTTGCTCCAGATATGACCATTATGTTTCAGGGGTAACTCAAAATAACCAGTCACGCTGATATATTTTCGAAATGGAAAAATTCATTTTACCATTAAATAAAACATGGGTTACATAATTTTGTGAGTGAAGCCTAAAGGTCGTGAATAAAATCCATTATATAACAATGTACTACTTGCGAGTAGAATACTTTAAATATCTATAAATTGCTAGGTCGGTCGTATATTTCATCGGACAGAAAGTGTGTTATTTAGAGATCTATATGAAGCTTATTTCAAACAGGAAAATAGTACTAAAAATGCTATTCAATAAGTGAACTTTTTGGAAAAATTTAAATATCGGTAATTAGTCATTTGGTTATCAGCGATTAATGAAGTTCAGGAAACTCTCGAAAAATTTAGCTACATTTTGATTACCTAATTAATAAGACCAAGAAAAACCATTGGTTCTTAAGTTTTAGGACTAATAGACATTTAAAAAGAGATAAATGTTTAGAAGTATTACTTGAGGTTTTGAGATTTTTGTGGATGTTTATTAATTTGTTTTTTCACATAAAATTCTGGTAGATTCCTGGAAGAATTGACAAAATACATGAAGATTTTCCAAAATCGTCTCCTTGAATTTAATGGAAACGAAAGATCACTATGATTCACATGTGTTTTTCTAAATGGTCTCTGACGGCTTACCGTTCTAAAACTCAAAATAATTTGACGCATGACTTCTGTTATGCCTCAAAGAGACAGCCGGTTATATGACAGTGACTTATCGATCGGATCAAGGATTCAGAATCTCGATAGTCTATTCTGGTCCGTTGTCCCCAACTCTGCTAACTCGATCAAAAAGTCTGGGTAAGGTGTAGAAAGTGTATTCTACAGACAAACAGCAGATAACAAGTCAGGCAGGCAGATCAGATCAAGCATACAAGTCAAGCGTATTTATACAAATATTTACAATCGATATTGTCGTGGAAGATTTTTGAACATTAATCAACAATTGACTGCTATTTGAACATTTAATCGATAGTTCATCAATTGACCTATCTGCATATTTAATCGATAAGTAAATTACAAAATTTGAGTTTTGGGGATCTATCGTCCCCAACACTCCTCCCCTTTTTTGAAGATCCGGAGTTGATATCCGATTTTAAGTTTTCCAGGTCCATCCTCCCCCACGAAACAGTGTTGGATCCTCATATGCCCACGTTATAATTAACTTGAATTTATTTAAGACATATTTATCGCACTGAACAGAGAATTGACTGAAACTGACTAAGTCTTGAGGCTGAACGACACTTGATATGAGGTGTTCGAAGTTTAATTCTTCTGAAATACTGTGACCAAATTTATTTGGAATCTTATTTGTAGATAATCGATCATCAAGGTAATTAGCATCTATCAAAATTGTATTAAGTTTTTGATCATCATTTGATGCATCTGACATATTTTCTGGTAAAAGAGAATCTTGATAATAAGATTTGTCAAAAACATCTGTCGCAGACTGATGAGAACCATTTGAAGAAGTTGTATTCAGTGTACTGCTCGATTTGTTTTCTGTTTCATGGGTGGTTATTGCGACAATTCTATGAGCATTTGCCAGGGAGTGTGTTTGTGAGCTGGATAAGTCACCGTCTGCACATGCTGTTTTGGGGATAATGGAGTTTGAGTCCATTACCGGGCATGTTTCTGGAATGGAGAGGACTGGACCACTGGGCGCATTATGGATGACTGCCGTTCCGTTTGAAGTACAGTTAATCGAGGATTCATGGAGGCTGCTGTCATTTTCCAGCTCACTGTGTAACTCAGATATCAATCCATCCACTTCCGTCGCATCTTCATAGCATGACTGACTTAGCAGCTGCGTGCGGAACTTGACTAATAACTCCAAATGTCGTTCAAAGAGCAGCTGCAATCGATCGGAAGGGAGTGTCATTTTTTGGATCAGCACCAGCAATGAAGATTACTGTATGAATAATGACCAGTGTCGTTCAGGGACACTGATGACAAACTGGATACTGATTGATTGAATAATTAGACTGGATTTTGTCCAATTACAGAATGACTTTGGATTGTATTTTTTTTACCCCGTCGCCAATTGTTATGTCTCAAAGGGACAGCCGGTTATATGACAGTGACTTATCGATCGGATCAAGGATTCAGAATCTCGATAGTCTATTCTGGTCCGTTGTCCCCAACTCTGCTAACTCGATCAAAAAGTCTGGGTAAGGTGTAGAAAGTGTATTCTACAGACAAACAGCAGATAACAAGTCAGGCAGGCAGATCAGATCAAGCATACAAGTCAAGCGTATTTATACAAATATTTACAATCGATATTGTCGTGGAAAATTTTTGAACATTAATCAACAATTGACTGCTATTTGAACATTTAATCGATAGTTCATCAATTGACCTATCTGCATATTTAATCGATAAGTAAATTACAAAATTTGAGTTTTGGGGATCTATCGTCCCCAACACTCCTCCCCTTTTTTGAAGATCCGGAGTTGATATCCGATTTTAAGTTTTCCAGGTCCATCCTCCCCCACGAAACAGTGTTGGATCCTCATATGCCCACGTTATAATTAACTTGAATTTATTTAAGACATATTTATCGCACTGAACAGAGAATTGACTGAAACTGACTAAGTCTTGAGGCTGAACGACACTTGATATGAGGTGTTCGAAGTTTAATTCTTCTGAAATACTGTGACCAAATTTATTTGGAATCTTATTTGTAGATAATCGATCATCAAGGTAATTAGCATCTATCAAAATTGTATTAAGTTTTTGATCATCATTTGATGCATCTGACATATTTTCTGGTAAAAGAGAATCTTGATAATAAGATTTGTCAAAAACATCTGTCGCAGACTGATGAGAACCATTTGAAGAAGTTGTATTCAGTGTACTGCTCGATTTGTTTTCTGTTTCATGGGTGGTTATTGCGACAATTCTATGAGCATTTGCCAGGGAGTGTGTTTGTGAGCTGGATAAGTCACCGTCTGCACATGCTGTTTTGGGGATAATGGAGTTTGAGTCCATTACCGGGCATGTTTCGGGAATGGAGAGGACTGGACCACTGGGCGCATCATGGATGACTGCCGTTCCGTTTGAAGTACAGTTAATCGAGGATTCATGGAGGCTGCT